AGCCTCCTTCTGGAGGGAAATAGCATGCACAAGTGCATCAAATGTATGTAGAAGTGTTAGTATTACATGTGTGTTATACAGATACATACTAGTAAAGGCAAAGTGAAGATACAAGGCGTCCACCAGGAGATGGTGGTGATGAAGACTGCAATGGTTCTTGGATCCTATGACTTTCTAAGAAAACTCTGTCTTTTCCACTGATGGAAGGCTACGAAAAATTGTATGATTTTTTTTTTTCCAAAACCAAAAGAAAGCTCAAGTTCATCAGTGAAGAAGACAATGGGATCAAAGCCATTTGGATTAGAAAACATCTGTTATCTCCATTGATGTTTGCTTAAAGGAATAGGACAGGAAGTTGGCAGAAACATACTTAGATTTCCCATTGGACAAATGAGTTTCCAACAAAATGAACATAGAAAAAGAAATTATGTTGTCAGAACAATGTCAAAACTCTATAGAAAATGCTGATCTATAAATGCAGCACTAAGAAAAGGAAAAAGTGTGATAAAATAACCATTTTTTTAGAGACATCATTTTAAAATTCACAAATTGCTCTAGTAGTATGTATACTACTAGAGTTACCATATGTTTCCTCTGCTTCAAGGTCACGTGGTTTTAAAAAATGCCATTTCGTTGAAATTTTCATTTGCTTACTTGATGTGGAATATGCATGCTTCATCTCTTTTTATTACTCCTTTCCTGGCTACTCTGTTTTCTTTCATTCCCCGCTAACTTAGTTGCCTTAGGCAACTGCAAAATATATCTTCTATAGGCAATGAAATTCTATGGAAATGAGGTCTGCCATATATATTCTTTACCATCTACAGAAAGGGATCCTTTTATCCACTGGCCATGAAATTACTCACGCATCTAACTCTCAGGGCTTGGCTTTACTAAAGCATCCTGGTTTTGCAACAAGGGAAACACAACTGCACTGCAGGAGCTCTAGTGACAGGTGAACAACAGTCTCCCTTCCAAAGTCTAATTCTTTTCACTTATACACTGATGTAAATCTAGAGTATTTGCTAGATCTCTATGAAATTATATTAACACACTTTGAGTAGATACCATATCGTTAAGAAGTAAATTCAAATCTACAGATTTTTTTCATTTTAAAGACTTTTTGGACATGTTGCCAAGTCAGGATTTTCTGCATATGCTGTTTCCTTGTCCTCTAGTGGACAGTAAAATAGTGTTCACATTCCGTATGACCATTTCCATACCCATCACAAACATCTGCTTTCTTCAAAAAGGAAAAAGATATTTAAGGTGAACATTGCAATTTAAATTATCTTCAGAACTCTCAAGAAACAGAGCTAAAAAGTAAAAGACAAAAACTCAAAAAGAAAAACATCCTCTGTTTTACAGGTCTCATCACAGAAAACGAATTCTATCCAGATGCCCCACATGCTTTATCTACAAAGCCACATTTTCCCTGAAGAGCTAAGTATGCTTTCTGTAGGATGAGCACTTTTAAAGGCTATAGAAATGTCACAAAATACACACTTCCTAAATGCTGAAGAACAACTTGCAAGAATTACAGTCCTCTCATCTTTCCAAACAGAGTCAATCAAAATCCTCAAACAAAAAAGATAATCTCTGGAGAAAATAATCTAATAATTTCCTGAGATTTTCATTTGGAAATTCAGAAAGATGTTGAAGTGCATTATTAAGGCTACCAACATCATTAGATAACTTTGCAATTAAGGATGCTTTGGACCTTTATGAATCTGACCAGCACATAGAATTAGTCATATTTGCTGTGAGGAGAACACACCAATGTGAACTACCTAGGTTATTTAGGCTATCAAAAGAAATAAAATAGGCCATCTGTGCTCTCACAGTACCATATGCGGTACCAAGTTCTGTGCACTATTACAACCAGACGCAGTCCATAATTTAGAACAAGCCAATAATTCAACCGTTGTCAACTTCTCATTGAATTTGTCATCATTAAGCACTTAAATACTTCAGTAGTACTTGTTAGCCATACTTCCATAAAGTACTTCTGGCTTTATTTATGAATGCAGCTTTTGGTATGTTCTCTGTTTACAGATATTCTGTCTTGCCCCAAATATTGCAGAAATCAGTATTCTTACTGATATCCAAGTGGTCTATTTACATTGCAATTTTCTTGTAATCAGAATTTTTATCTGACATGTTAAAGCATGTAGGAGACCACATAAGAAGGCATATTTAACCCATGATAAGATAATCTAAGGATCTTTTTATTTACTGGAGTCAGTCAATATATTTATTCCTTGAAGAACCTGTATGGATTTAATCCAACTCAAGATATGCTTTCTGTTAGAATGTAATTTTTTTCTGCTTTCCTCCCCTCTCAAGACAACCATCCAAAAAGCACACGACTATTTGCAAGGGATGAAAATGCTGGCACTGGAATAGCAACCAGTGTTTCAAAGCAGGCTCTTCTTTCATGCAAATAATTTCTGAGCAAAGGGTTTGCAACCAGTTGGCAAAGCAATTTTTGCCTGCAGCAAAGAAATGACATGGTGCTTATCATGTCAGCTACATGCACATGAATTTTGTTCTGTGTTACTGCATTGTGCAGAAAATACTCTCTCAGAAAACTGAAAGGTTGCTTTCAGTAACCATGGTGTATGCCTCAAACATAATTTGACTCATCTAGCCTATTTTGAATCAAAAGGTCTAAGAAGCCAAGTATAACCACAACAACAATTAAGTTTTCAGAGGTATATACTAAAGGACTTACTGTGATAATTAACCCTTTTTCCTGGAAATATTTAACCAATGGGACGGCATTCTGCTTGAAATTCATTAGTCGTCTTTGAGTGGCTTTCAGGTTATCATCAGGTCTCCCTTGCTGTTCAGCACGCTTCAGTAACCTTTCTTTCAGCCTTTGACTGGAACATGCCAGAAACACCACCAAATCTGGGGTACAGATCTGTGAAAAGAATAATTCAAAAAGTCTGTGATTAAGTGTATCCAGCACTACAGCACTCAACAATTCCACTATTAGGTGAGGCTCAGATATGCTACATTTGTGTAAGTTGGAACTCGATGAAGTCATTAATTTTCTGTTGGGTTTTGTTAAGGGACATCTGTAGGCTTAAGGAGGGGATCGTTTGTTTTATGTGACAGTCAATTTGTTTCACCTGAAATGTTGAGGGAAAAGTTTAATGAAAAATTTTTACCTCACCCCAGAAACCTTCTCTAGACTATGTTCATCGTTTGCATTACCAGAAGGTTCCCCTACTAATATTAAAATCCTTAAAAAGAGCAAAATATTAATGTCTCATATTCTGCAGGAAAATGGTTATATGGTTTCCACCTACAAAGCCTACAAAGTAAGGTGGTATTTAAAATCCAGCAGCCGCTATGAAGCTAACTGATGCCTAGGACCAGGTGAAAACAGACCTGTTCAAAGATCCACGGTTTCTTATAAGACTTAATCTGTTTCTCTAAATCTCATCCACGCTTCAGTGCACTTTTCAAGAGGTTGGCTGTGGCAGCTAAGAGGATTTTAATTTCTCCTATCCTTTCTGGTCTGTGTGGTATCTCACACCCATCCCCACACTGAAGTTCAGGAAGTACAGCCTTACAGCAATGAGAAAAATTTTTTCGGAAGTTTAGCTCTTTCCCAGTTAAGTTCAAGTTGCCCTTATGGCTTTCAGTGTTCTTCATAACTTTTGGTTACTCATACTATTGAACAGTTATAGAAGAGATACCTCTGGTGCTTGAGGAAGGGGAAGCAGTGGCAGCCCCACTTTCTTAGGAATGCTGCTAAATGTTCATAGGCAATCTTCAGAGGTCACCACTAATTAGTATATGTGGTGGAAAAAACAGAAGTCACTCAGACATCTGAATTCAGGATTTTAGAAACTACTGGAGTTTCCTAACATTACATGGGGATTCAGAAATCATAACTGCAAATCAGGAATTTAGTAAAGTGAAGGACAAAAGGAGTTTATACAAGTGAGTAGTTTTATTTAGTATTTCCATTTCTGTGTATCCTAATAATAGTGAAGAAAGACAGTAGAAATCTTTAGATGCTCCAAGCTGTAGCTGGCCTTCTCCACCCTTTCAACACTCACTCCCAAACATCTTCAGGACTAGCATCTCCCATGTACTCAGACCTGTAACGTCATACCAGACTTCAAGCGTAGGACCTAAGCTTTTGCATATCACATAACTTCACATATAGCATCAAATGTTACAGAGACTACTTACAATAAATAGATCTCTCATGAAATTATCAGCCCCTAAAGGAAAAAGAGGGAAGAGACAAAGGGGAGGTCCCCTTCTGTTTCACACAAACATGAGAGTGCAGCTTTCCACAGTCAATCTCAGTTCTTTAAAGAAACTATGGCAGAGTATGTGCAGCCCCACAGCAAGGAAAGGATCTGAAAGCCACCATGATGCCATCAGGTGTGTAGGTTCTCATCTCCCTAGTTCCCACAAACTTCACTGGCTTCAGAGGTCAGTTTCTTTTTAAGAAAATAGGAAAGCATGCCCTGGGCCTAATTTTTTTTTTTTTTTCCTAGTTGTAAAATGAGGATAATAACAAGGTGCAATACAGTAATTACTGTGGAAAATTAATTTTTTAATTATTTCCCATTGCTTTTTAAAATGGAAAGTTCTCTACAGGAGCTGAGTAGTGGTGGTGGTGTTAAATTTTTGACTAGTAACAGCAACAATACAAAAGACAGCATCACAATTCCAGGAACTAAAACTATTTTTTCTGACATTGGCATTTGTGATTTGAAGTACATTTCACTCACAGAAATAAAATGTCAGTGAAAACAATGGTTTAAAATTCTCAGTTCAAGAAACCTAGTTTCAAACAAAGCATTATCTAAAAGGTTTTTTGAAGTGGAGAAAAAAGTAATTCAAGCATATTTGAGGTAGGAATACAAAGCAGATTCTGATTATGCGATGCCTCGATGAATTCATCTTTCACCTGTAAAATATGCATCTTTATCACCAGAAAGTAGCTGAAAACCATTAAACAAACACAAGTTTCTGCTTGGTTTTAGATGCACAAAAGGCTAACATCTCTTCTATATCCATAGGTATACAGACCTAATAGCACTTAATACATTTCTCCTACATGCATTTACAACCTTCAGGGTAAACCCTTGTAATTAATATTTCACTCCTGTTTTCATGAACCACTCTGCTTCTACTTAACTCAACTGTACCTGTCTGCAAGACATGCTTATAAATACTTTACACTGGAATGTAACAGGCTGGTGTGAACATATGGACATCTAGGATTACTGCTCTGGAAACATATCTAGTTGTCCTATGTAAATGTGAGTACAAATTGCTTTTTTCTAACAAAGGAAAAGGTTTTTTATGACTCATTTGAAAACAAACCTATTTTTTAACTCGGAACTAACTGTTCTTGAGTTTTATGACTAGGGAGTAAGTTTTATTCTGAGACTCAGCTTTTAGAAAAGCTGTACAGAACCAGCGCAGGCAGAAGAACTGGATTCCTTCATGCTGATTTCCCATAACACACTCATCTTGTGCTGAAGGCAGGGAATTTTATTCATGTCCAGAAATACATTTGAGGAAGGACTGTGGGGCTCGGGGAAGTTAATTTGACTATTTAATAATGGGAACTCAGCAGAAGGGAGAATCTTTGCCTACGGGAACAGACAGGTTTCTGGTTATTCACAACCTTCTGAATTTTATATGAGACAAAGAGCATATGGCATCAACTCAGAATAAAACCGGTGGGTACATACTTTCATTTTTTAGCATGGTATTTACTAGTAAGTAAATCCTACTCTCTTTGGGTCTGAATCTCCTTCCTAAACTGGAACAAGGAGTAAATTGAGAGTAATTCCATGCAAGTTGGTGGTGTTATTGACATAAAGCAGTATAAGTGGAAAGATGCTCTCCTCTCTGGGGATATTTTCTACATCTCCTCTTGTTAGTGAGAGTAGTGTGGTTGTTTGCTAGAAATTAGATGATTGCACTCTCTCTCATTATTCCTCATTAGGCAAAAGACAAAAATGCTCTGTTTCTTAATTCCTGGTATGTTCTACTAGATACTCCTGAGAAAACTTCACTGACAGCTCATGAACAATTGTCATTAATTTAACAGTGCATTTTATTCTAATTGGTAAAGGTTACTAGCAAGCTAGTTTATGTCCATTGTATGGGTGCTCTCCCTTGTAATTACTGATTTTTTATAATTCCATCTCTGCTGGATTACTAGACTGTTTGCATAGTTTTTTTCCTCTTTCAGAAAAGTAAAATCATGAATCCTGTTGTCAAAGAATGAATCCTGCTGACAGAATTTTTTCTGGTAACTGCTTTTGAATTGTATTCACACTGCCCAAGAAATAAGTTTCCAGCTAATTGCCCAGACTACATAATTAGGCCCCCTAATAATTGATTGATAGAGGCAGGTGTCTTTAGGGAGAACTGACTCAGATTTTCACCTGTAGGGCAGCTAGTTGATAGGAATCCCTAGCTGTAAACACTAATGCTACAAAGCTCTAAGCAGACCTCTGGTTCAGAACTGCTCAGCAGGTGCCCCCATCCACTCTGAATTCAGAATATCAGGTCCTCTCCTGATGGTTAAGCACCAGCAATGGATGAGCTCTCCTTTGGCTAGTTTGGCTAGCAGATAAGAGCCCTTGTCCAGAAAAACAGGAAACCTGAGGTCTACGGTCTCTTACCCAGGAGAAAATGGAAGCACTGCTTGCCTTTCCTAGGAGACTGCTCTAGCTTCCAGGGAAGAAGACAATGATAAGACTGTTCCACAGGCTTCCTGCTCAGGCTTGGCTTTAAGAAAGCCATGTAAAACTCACGGGGCTAAAGAGAGTGAATGAGAGGAACCACAGCAATGTAGACTGCTGATGTACTAGTCCTCCCACTCCTCATACAGAGATGACTGGGTATATATATCCAGTACCTGAGGCTTATCAGCCTGGAACAACTAGGTGGAGATTTGGGAGAAGGGAGATAGAAGTTGAGCAGGTAATGAAATGTAGAAGACAAATATACCATAATGCAGAAAAAATACTTTTACCAGAACAAAAACCGATTGCAAAGAAAAGATCCTTTCACAGAAAGGTTGCATTCATTTTACTAGTTGATCTGGAGCCCATGCTCTTGGCCAGTGACAAAGCAGGTTTTCTGTGAGAAGCTCTTTGCAGAGCATGGGCTTGGCAGTCGATAATGATAGGTCAGTTGGCCACAAACACCTATGTCAGACTTTGAGGTGACTGCAGGCCTCATTTCTGCTTGGAGGTTTAAGCATGGGACTTGGAGGAATAGGATTGCTGTCCTTAGGCTGTGAGAGGACAACTCAGGTTTTCCCAGCATCCTATATTGTGCTCAATATACATAGTTTAATCTACTTCAGCACAATTAATTCTCATAATAATTTTCATAAGAAATATGTTTGGGAGTTAAAAAGTTCACTCGAATCACAGCCGAGATGAACTAGGTATTCTTTGTAGGTGTAGTGCCTTTATGAATATTCTTAAGGACATTTTAAACAAAGAATCAGATAAAATTTACTGCCTCTGTTTGTTATTTAAATTAAGTTTTTACTTCTTCAAATATAGTCTTGTCAACTAGGCCATATAACACAGAAATATTTTTAAGGTAATTTCTACAAAAATAGTCTTTCTCTTTTGTCAAGGAATTAAATTATATTCATTAATGAATATTCATTAATTCTAATCCCCATTCCACATTTCATTTCACTATTAACAAAACTTACAATTAATACATTTTAAGCAAACTTAATCTGTACTCACTTTATTGAAGCTAAGAGGGTTAATGTTGGTGAATGAATTACTGAAATCAGACAGAAAATTATGCATGAATGACTGAAAGTTGGGGGGGGGAGGGGGGAACCCAAACCAAAGCAGTTATTGAAATTAACTGGCAAATACTGAACTGAGAAATTGTTTCTCC